CTACTGCTACTGCTACTCTACTGCTGCTAGGCACTGGCGTTCATGGACATCAGCGATGGGAGGACGCGTTCGCGTTATTCTTGTACCACAGGCCACCATTACGAGTCCCTGTACCTCCTTATCGATTGTTTTGTTTGCTCATCGCATCGGAAGCGCGGTGGAAAGAACACCGAAGAGGAGTCGAGATACTAAGATGTAAACACTCAACCCTAAACTCTAAACNNAAACCCTAGACCCTACACCCTAAAAGGCCCTAAAGTCCATAGACCCTCATCCCGACAGAGGCATCCGCGATAGGGGCAGCTCCCTGAAATCTGAGCTCCCCTCCGTGTGCTTTCTAATTCTGAGGGTCACTTAACGAACATGTTTGCACAAGTAGAATTGCAACATACCCTTCTTAGTCCCTGTATAATTACACTCGAATATTCAATATAGCCCAGAGCCCTTTTCTTTTAATTATGAAGGCCTTGGAGCAATCGTTTGGGGTTTGCGGCCTTGGGGTGGCAGCAGTTCTAGTTTAGGTTTACACAAGCAGTTTTCTAGTTTATGCAAGAGCTGTCAGGGTCAGGGGGTAATCTTCTACCTTTGAAGGTCACCCCATCAAGCAGCAGCAGCTTCGTGGACATCTACCACAAACTACTGTTCGCTTCGGAGATGTCAGTCGATGTCGTCAGCGCAGTCGATCTTATCAACCGGCAAGCGGTTCTGAAGAGCAGCCATCGGTTTGGGTGGCATGAAGACCGTGGCACCGTGCACCGGATGGTCCAAGTTACGGCAAGCAACAAGAGGCAAACGGCAAGGCTACCCCTTGACTGCCGGCCTGTTTCAGACACGGCATCGCTTCCGCCTGCGTGTTCTGGTGTTCAGGGTTTGCGGTTTCGGGACCCGCCAGTTGTTGCATAGCCTTCGTTAGCAAAGGCTCGCAGCACGAAGTGTAAACCGCAAGCCCTAGAGCCTGCAACCCGCCACCTAGAAACCCAAGCCCTAATGTCGAGCAGAGAGAGTTTGGGTTTAGCCGTTTCGGGTTCTAGGGCTGATTTGTGCTTCTGGGTTGCGGTCTTTATGGGAATTTAGAGTTCAGAGCTGAGGATTGTTTAGAGCTTTTGGGGTCCAGGGTCTCGGACATGTTGAGAGTTCTAGGGTTTAGGGGTGTAGGGTT